CAATTAGTTACTGAGACGACATGATATTTATCTTTCATATACAAGGCATCCAAAACCGCAGGATTACAGTATGGATCAGAGACATGGAAAAAACATGTGCACGTATTAAGAAACTGGTCGTCTTTGACCTTCGGTATCCACGCAAGTGGAGGAAGATGCGAAGGAGTAGCGATGGAATCCGTATGTTCCTGTGTAGCAGAACATCCTCTGATGCTGCGTTGGTGAGCGTTAAACTGGGACAATGTCGCTTAGGTCGAGTCCCTCGCATACCGACCTACCAGCCACTTCAGCATGCGCTGCTTTCTCATTCTGTGCTGCATTTGGCGGAACCTTGAAGCAGCAAGTCAATGAGACGGTGAAAATAAACTGACCGATTGGGTTGGCACAGGTGCCATATTTGGCTAGAGGCCACTGGGGTGGTCACGTCAACGTTAAAAATCCATTGGGCGAAGTGCAAATCTAAAGCAGAGTCATAAAGGTGTTCGCCTTCTTGCAACTACTTATCAACCAAGTTCATTCTATGACTATCAACTCACTGAAATTCATACTACCTTGTGTTTACCGTATAACCCCTTACACAAATAAATAAATAGACTTTTGATCTTGATGATGCGAGACATTCCTGTGTCGGCATGATCGGGTTAGTGCATATCTTATAGAATGTTGGTCACATGTGGATTAGGAAAACTATCAGAGCAGATAGTTGTATTTGGAACGACAGTGAAGACAACTGTGTAACATCGACGTTAGTCTCCCACCAGACCGGCTGAGACAACTGCTACTCATGTGTACGAGAAACATTTAGTTTCCGTTTAATGGAACGCTATATCGACAAATAGACAGGGTGACAATGCGTTCACCATTAGGACCGTTGCCCGCGGACGTCTTCGTGAGCAAACTGGAGTGCAGCCAGCTGCACGAATCCATCATCAGCTTAGTGTATTACGGTCGATATGTAGACGACATATGTTGCATTGCCGATAATGGAATGTGCGTCGATGATCTATTGGCTCACTTTAACACTGTACATAGTAACATAACTTTCACTATCGAGCTGGAATGTAACGACTCGTTGGCATTTTTAGATGTCCAAATCAACAGGGCATCAGACGGGTCAATGCGGAGGAGAGTGTACAGAAAAGAAACCTGGAATGGACAGTACATCCATTTCTCTAGTTTCGTTCCAAAAAGTCAAACAAGGAATCTCGTCCGTTGCCTAACGCAGAGAGTAAGGAGAATATGTACAGATGATGCGCTTTCAACTGAGCTGAGCCTTATACGAAGCGTACCTCGAGCGTAATGAGTACCCTGAAAAATTCATCCAGGGGCACATGGAACCGCGAGTACAAAAGCCTAAACCCATTTCCGCGGAGAAGCAAATGATATACTTATCGTTACCATTTAAGAGTGACGCAATAGAGAAACGGACCACCCGAAGACTTGCCTTAGCAACGGAGAGAAGGTATTTTGCCGCTAATCTGCGCGTAAGCTTCACCTCAACACGGATTGTGCGCCCACAACTTAAAGACAGGATACAACGGTCGCAGACCTCCTTCTGTGTGTACAATTTCTCTGGTTCGTGTCGAGCAAGGTATATTGGGAAAACGACCAGGCGACAGTCCGTTAGGGCTCAAGAGTATTACCAGCTTGGCTCTACAGCGGCGCGAGGAAGAATGTAACGAGTGCAGTATTGTCATTGGTGCGCCTCGTTCTATCGAGAATATAGCATGCAGTTATTTATTCAAATCAATTCGCATGACGCATTCACACCGATCTGCTGTGTTCCCGGACGTTACACACGGGCAGTCAGATGCCGCCTGCTGTCGGCAGCAGAGGCGATCGCAATTCGGCTCTATAACCCGACCTATGTGCACAGAAAAAACTCGTCCATACTTCAACCCTGCCTAGATCTCAGACCAACGCGACTAACAATGGCAGTCACACGCCCCTTAACCTGATTTCGTCTCAACCAGACCAATCACGTAGACCTATCGAAGACATGGTCCACTGAATCGAAATGATGATAGCTGGCCTAAAACCTTTCTCATACATAAAAACAGCTGAAAATCACAGGAGGGTATGATGGTGAAACATGTACTGGATGATATGAAATCTGCACACTGCTCGTACAAGTGGCTTGTTGTTATCGAACAATCAAACAGTTTAATCACGTCCTATGCAGACAAGAGCTTGTTAGTGCCTTTGCGAATTTCGAGTTCAAGAGTGCGGGCACACATTCCGGGCGGTAGTTTGTTCGAAACTCTAGCGTATCTGTTAGGAAAAAGTTCGCAGACTTGCGAGTTCTAGACTTGCAATCCAACACCGAGTTCTGTTTGTATTGTGTGTTGTGGACTGTTGATAGCATTAATATCATATTGAGGTTGAAAACGTATGCTTCTAAGCAAGGTGCTTAAGTATATGACTAGGTTATGCTTCATACACCGTAGCCAGAGCGGATCATGTTTGAGATGATCACATCGCTCACAATATGCTAAATTTGACAAAGCACCTAGGAGGTGTTTTGTGAATGCTCTCTGTACATCTTCCAATGCAATGCGGTCGCGTGTTTTTTTGAGTTGCTACACACTATTGAACAACAATTCTGTGTGGGTCGAACAACTGATACGTAAGAAAGAAATACTGATTCGTGTGAGGAAAACATTTTGAATACCAATCCAAATTCGGTTGTGCTCTCGCGGTGGTATACCCTACGTGTTCACAGAAGTCAAATGAGCACGAATATCACAATTCCAGGTCCCTTAACGTAAGACATAGATTATGAGGTTCGACATCAAGAGTCAGGCCGCTATAAGTAAGATCACACATGTGGGACATTGTACGGCATTATTTTACAGTGAAGACATGTTCTACTTTAAGCAGCAAGTTTCAATCGCACGGTGGTCTCGTTGGATCATGTTGACAACATTGTCGGAGTCATCCGGACGGGACAGAAGGTAATACTAATGTGTAGCTGTACGCCGGAACGGCGCTTCGCTGCCTCGCGACCACCACCAATCGCGCGCTGGCTTATCACACCGCGAGAATGCCCACCCCTACGCGCATTCGAACCAGGGACCCTCTGGTTGCAAACCAGGTGCGAAGACCACTCGGTCACAACCAGACCTCCGGACGGAAAGTGCAAACGATTTTAATGTCCTCGGCAAACAGACATGGTGTACCGAATTTCACTAAACCGAAGATAGTGTCAACATATATTAAGAACAGTATCGGTCCGAGGACACTTCCTTGTATCACAATACTGGTGTAGGCGCAGACTTGTATTCTTGCATTGTACCACCTGCGTTCGATTCGTAAAGTATTGTCTGAAGCAAGAAAGCAGGAGTTCATCGATCGCGCAGGACATAGTTCTGGCTATTCGTTTGCATGAGGCACCTGATCAAAGGCCTTGTGCATGTGAGGTAAATAGTGTTACCGACATAATAGGAAGCCTTGTTAGAATTACAACTAAAATCCTGCTACTCGTGAGTAGTATAAATTAAAACTAGCCTCTCCGAGTTTCAAATGCTATGGATAGTGTCTAGCGAGAGAACATCACCTCGCAGGCTAACCACTGTCAGTGACAGTGGTAGATAGGTGGTGCTATATACCAGTTAGTTTGCAAAGTATTTAGCCGAGCCAACGTCCCCCATGGCTCAGTGGCTTAAGCTACTGGCTAGTTGGCATCTGCCTCTAGCGGTCATGGGTTCGATCCTCCTTAGAGGACCGAAGGAATGTGCACCACTGACGAGCCCCAATAGGGTGAAACGCGTCTGGTGCTTTTCCGGACTAGGCTGTATTATGTAGCTTGTGAACTACTGGGAAGAAAGCCTTGTTAGAATTACGTCATAATAGGACCATACGGGGGGCAGTCAACTGGTTTAGAAATTTCAGGTGGTATGTAATGAGAAGACCGTTTATTCAAGAAGCCATGATGAGATGTTTATTAGCTTGCAGTTGAAATTCGACAGTTTTGGCTTTGATATGTCGCTCGGTAATTTTTGATAAGCTAGGTGTGTAGTTTGTTGGGCGATAATTTTTAGGCTCGAACACGGATCCTGATTTAGGTCCCGGCCCAACTATGGTTTCCTTTCACTGAGCCCGCACGGTGCAGGTGTTCATGGATCGATTAAACATACAGCAATAGCAGGGGATGTCATCCCCGCCCAATTTCCCAAAAACGGCCGGGATATTGTCTGGATCGCCGAAATGTGATAATTTTGTGCGCCTGATAAGTTTATGTATAGCGTGGAATCCAAATCTGATCTGTGACTGGTAGCAAGACCATGTATTCAGTGTCCACGTTGAAAGAGATGCGGAAATAATGATTAAAAATTGCGTTGTTTTAATCAGGGTCCGATGTGTTGCAGACATCTGATGCTACAAGTGAGACAGTGTCACAGATACGCATGGTAGTTTTACGCTTTAAGAGACTAATCAGTGTACGGTTTTTGAATCGATTACCGAGGACCCGCATTTCTTCGGCTATTTGGTTGCTGTGATAAAAAAGTTTCGGCGATGTGGCCAAATTATGGCGTTGCGTCATGGATGAGAAGTTATTTGTTTGGCGATAGGCCGTAAGCAGATTTTGAAGTTAACAGCTGTTTTTGTTAAACAGTCTTTTCCCGACAGGAGGGAAAATGTCGATGATTGAGAGAAATCAGTATGTCGAGACGGAAATTAATGTGGTTATATTATTATGTGGACCTATGTCAAATAGGTGGGTCCAATGTACTTTGATGGATAAACCATTAAAATGGCCGAAACAACTCAGATGGACTGAAATGAAGTGCGTGGTATGGTATACCGGCCGAGAGAAACAACTGATGCTCGTGAATCCCCCAAAGCGGACTGTCGTGAAACAAGCATAGATAGATATGAGCGTACATAGTACCTGTAACCCCGGAGTCAAAGCACAGTGAAACCCGCTAGAGCGGGACATCGGGTGGTTGGATAAACATGGGATGAATTTCTACTTATATCAATTTGTAAAGTACTCTTACCTGAATGCAAGCCGAAGCGAAACGCACAAATTCGTGCAAACGAAGCAAACAGGAGAAAAGTCTATCATAATCAGATTCCGGCTCGAGTAGCGACGAGGATGTATACGAGTCCGAGTGGAGAAAGTCGGGGCCATGTTGAACGAGCGTATCAAGGGCGACTGAAGTCATGATAATCTCGTGGTCTATCACGGTCCAGATGGAATAGTCGTATTTCCACACCAACAATCCGATATCTGATGGTATGAAGAAGCAAGAGTAGCAAATGGGGCACTCATGAAAAGGGGAAATGGATGATAGGTAAAAGCGTTTAGACACTTGAATAGCATAACCCTCTCTAGGATTTCCTAAAATGGGGATGGACAGCGGTTGGGCGTTACCCCCTAGCTACACAGCAGCCCTTCACGGCCGCTTTCAAACTAGTCTGCACCCAACAGATAGCAGCAGCGTCAGTGACAAAGGGGATCGAATGCATCTCTGCTATCACCGCCTGATGAGATCAAACAAAGTCGAAAGCGGTCGTGGAGTGCCGTGTTTTTGAGTGGGCGACACAATACGTATCTGCTTCATCGGTCCTAGTGATCGAATTGACCAAGTTTCATTTCAATGGGAATAATCGTGGTCACCACTGGGATTGTGCGTCACAATCCAATCACAAAACGAGTACCTCAAAATGACGAAATGTTTTTCGGTGGCAATCACTGGATGTCATCAAGATGCTCTGTTGCGGAGTGTTTACAGACTCGGAAATGAGCAGTACTCATTGTCAGCCGATTAAATTAACCATGGATATTGACTGTGGATCCGTGTCGTAAAGTCAGGTCTAGGGATTCGAGCTCAGAAATCGCCGCTCAATAGCTGAGTACATCTGCATCCATGTGATGCGGACTCAGGTGAATAATCAGCCAAATATGTGGTGGGCATAAAAATTCACTGGATCGACCAGCAAGGCAAGAACAACAAGGGCAGTAAAAACGAAGCATGAGATTAAAACAGAAATAATAAGGTCGAATCGGTGGACAGGTTGGATCGAATAAGCGTCGGTGACTGCTGAATAGCGTCAGGCAACATTGTATCCCAAACCACAGGCGCGATAGATTATGTGGACAAACAAGAAAGTTACATCAACGAACGTGACTAAGATGTAGAAAAAGGAGATTCAAAGAGCGTTGACACCGCAAGTTTACAATGTGATTCATTGAATAGAGGCTGATTAACGAATGAAAACATCTTTCATGTACAATATAAGGGGGTAGGTACCTCCGAAAGTCACTAGTTCACTGCAGACCCTAAATTATGGAGATAGAAAGTTGGAAGAACCACGCTGAAGTGGAGAAGATGTGAAGCGCACCCCGAGTCGCATTTTAATGGCCAGTAGAAGCTGATGAATTATATCAAGCTGACAGGTTCACTTCGTTCGTGGTAAGTAGTGGCAACAACTTGACGCCACAAAGTTGAGAAGTAGACAGCTAGTGCAACAAGTGTTAACTACGTGTGTGTTGACTTAGCTATCGTCAGAATGCGAGCGGGTGCTACAAATCGACCGACGCACGTTGACTGCGTTGTATCATTTCCAGCTGACAATAGTTTGCCCAATCCATATATTAAAGGCAACTGTTAATACAGTATGCGGAAGGTGTAGCAGCTGAAAGAATTCGGCTAGAAACGCATGTTGTCAACACAAAGATAGCAGCTTTGACATTACCACATTGTCATCGCTACAATTAACAACCCCGAAATAGCCTCCCAAGTGGTTATCGGAATCCAAGAAGCGAACAACGGGAGTAGTAATTTGTCTGTTATAATGATAACATCTGAAGTTCTGTCCATATAGACCAGGGGAGAAAGTCGTCAGCGACATTTCTGTTGGTGGCTTCCAAGTAAAAGAACGGGTGAAAACAAGCGAAAAGACATCGATCAGCAACTTGGTGAGTCACAAGGTTGAAGTGTGAACTAGCAATTACTTGCCCTGGTCTATTCATTGTCCAAAGAAAATGAGCTGTGTGTTAGATCTTCAGGTTTGCTCGCTATTCCGAATTAAACACCCAAAAATTTCTCCGCAAAATTTCTAGCCCAGTCGAAGAAATATCAAAAGTCCAATGACCTTGACCACGAAAAACGCGTTAACAAAAACGCTGCCAACATAGCCAAAAATGCCGCCAAAACGCTTTACCACTACGCCAGACCTAAGCCAAATAAATAGAGGGCTCAATGACCTTCGGATTCTAGAAAACGAAAATCAACTGGTAAAATTAGTAGCCACCCTGCCAAAACTCCGTATGCCAGCGAGCACGTGAAGAAATGGAAGGTTCTGGAATCTTTGAAATCAATGCACCATCGAAGATAATCGATTAATTGCTAAAATAATGATTTTCCTTTGTGTTTTTACAATTTCAATGTTGTCCAAAGAAAATGAGCTGTAGACAAACCAACGTGGTAGAAACTGGGGTTTGGGTCAGGTGGCAAGAGAGACGCGATGACGCAGACGTTTCGAGAGACCAAGTAGTGAGAGTGAAAGGAGGCTTGCTGTCAAACTCAAGCGTTAAACTGTCGAGACTGACAGTAGTCAGAAGAATTAAAACCATAAGTAACTTGCCAACGAAACATGGGTAAGACAACACGATGAATGCGTAAGTATACGCCTGGCATGAGAACGACATTAACTGGCTACAGAAGAATATTCGGTCTCACATTCACGAGTGTGGTGACATCGAAATAACGCAACAGCACCTAGATGGGAGTCAGAAATGGTTAGGGAGGAGAAAGGACAAACAATACCTGAAAGGTAAACATATGACTGACACTGCGGCTTACCCTGTTTCACGAATCCATGTGTACCAGCCGGCAGCTCCAAATGCCCTTTGGATAAGCGATCCACAGTTGGAGAAGCATCATGCCAGAGCGTGCGGTTTCCATTGGTCCAAACGATGAACGGACGGGACAGAACGAATTCATCCGTCGGGACGAAGTCTCCCCCAGTGTCAAGCTGTGGATACCAAGGAGTAATCTGATTCAGGCGAGCAGACAGATCGGAAGTCAGGGGTTGGGCCAAATAAGGCATGGAACAAACAAGCTCCGACACCAATTGTACGAGGGATTGTTCAGAATGTGTGTTGGATTGTTCTTTTTGTGCACTCTGATTGTTCGGTATCATGAGGGCCGTACACAGACGCAAAATGCTCAAATCATGAGGAAAACCTAGTTACAGGAAGATATAACAAATAGGAATACACACACACACACAAAATAAACACAGTAATGTGAGAGTCATTATTATGCGTATACATGAAACACGACTGGCCGCATATCGGAACAAGCCTAGGAAAATAATACTAAGTCGGCTTAGAGTGACCAAAACAGGTAGCGCAAAAAAGAGGAGAAAAGAAATGTGCAAACTGCATGAAACTGAAACCAGATAACAAGTGGCAGGAATGATGGTGCAGCTTTATGATCGAAAGGGAGCTTGAAAACCAGGTAAAGCTAGGGGATGCAGTTACGGTAGTGATAAACCGCTGTAAAACTGAGATAGTAAAGGACAAGTAGTTGGGCAGATATTAATGATTACAGTAATTATAACATAAGCCTAAAATGGACAAATTATGGGCATTTTCATTTCGTTAAAAGAACTACATCTGTGATAGAATTCCAAGCAATCACAAGTCGCCCGGTGGCCGAAAGGATTGCACGCCTGGCTTGCAATCCTTAGGTCACCAGTTCGAATCGGTGTAGGGGTGGGTGTGCTCGCGGTACACTCAGCCCACGCGCGATTGGTGGTGGTCGTGTGGCAGCGGAGCGTCGGTACAGTGTGCCGGCGTACTGCTGATGATTCCAGCAATCACACGCCAAAATACCTGAGTCGATAACTCTGAATAAACACATAAGGCGAAACGACGGAGCTGCACTGAATGACACAACAGGTAGGGAGTTGGATTTAGGCAATGTGTTAAAGGAGTCAAAGATTCTTGCATTCAATGCATTGTGAAGTTGGTAGCCAGAAACCAGCAACAATAGTCGGAAGGTTGTAATTTCGAGGAAAAGCATTCAACAGACGGGTAGTGAACGTCATAGAGAAAAAATAGCGGTTGTGAAGTTCAGTTCGGTTCAGTTGAACAATCATAATCTATGCGCTGAAATGCTGTGGACTCGCTTGCCTTGATTCACACTGTGAAAAAATAACGATAACGATTAATAACGAGGTATAAATAATACCCGAGAGGGGTGAGCGCGATGTTAAAATCGCCAAGTGGATTAAGCATAGCCACAAAAAGAGAGAATAGATGCAAAAGGATCGATGAGTTCATCACTGTTACAGATCCGATAGAATGGCTAAGTACTGATCTAACCGACCTTTTCGTGTTAACCCTATTCAGCCAAATTAAGGCAGATGTGTGACGTGAGTGTGAACCACATATTCTAATCAGTGCAGACAGCTAAAGTTTAATAGACACTTCAATGAGGTACCGAAATATGTGTTGCAAAACACCAGATGACGAACATGAGGATTACGCAATCGGTGCTCCCAGTGGATGCGCAAAAAGTTGCCGGTATCGGCGATCAAATATGCCGGTCCCTTACGCCTAAAGCGTGCAGTGGCCATGTCTCCGATCCATACACGGGCGCCGGTCGCACCGTAGCCTTGTACATACTTCGAGGAATCAATAACCTTACATATTGCAATCACACTAAGTGATGTCTTGAGAAGTCACACGAGCCTCAGCACTCCAAGTGGTGATCTCTTCGTAGATGCGGCCGTCCGCGAGGACAAAGCTAACCAAAACAGGCCGAGTTTGTTCGTTAACAGTTGGAACTGGTGGAGTGGCGGTCCAGTACCATAACACTGCACAGTACTTTGCACACAGTGGTGTTCCAATGGTTTCATTCCAAGATCGCAATCCAAAAGGTAAACAAGTACTGCAGCGCTTCAGGCACGAGTCGTGAACAGAGTGATAGTAGCGTGCGTATTTCAGCGAGCCCGATGTGTTAATAATGGTAGTAATAATAATAATGAGAATAGTTATCGATTGTACGGGAGACTCTCCTTGAATAGAGAAAGAACATAAGTACAGTAATGATCATGCTCATGCATGAGTGAAATATGTGTTCAAAGCAGTCTGAAATAAATGGCTTTTGCTGGTGCTGAGTCTTGTATAAAAGCCTTTCTCAATGGCCATATATTCCTTGGTCTATCTTGGATGAAATCATTTGGTGATGTTTCTGATGAAAATATGGTCATTCGGGTGCAGGAAATTCCCAAGTTTAATACGGAATGTCCTTGCATTCGTACAGGACTTGACAGTGGTTGGTAGGATATTCCACAGGACAGCGTAGCTAATGAGAAAGAAGTTAGATGGAAGAACTGTCCTGATTCTTAGCACAATTGGTTTATAAGGCTTGTTGCAAGCGTCCGAGTGAAGTGTAGTTGCAGTTCTACTGTAGACAGATTGGAGTACGTATTTCGGTTTAGGAGATTGAGCATGAGTATCAAGTTACATGACAGTGGTTGCAGTCAAAGGGGCTCGAGATGAAACTGTTGGTAACGCTCCTGATAGCGCAAAGTGAACGATTGACTGAACAAACGCTTGGTGAATGATCTTTGCGGGTTTAGTCACCCAACCGCATGTGGTCAAAAATGAAGCTGAAATATTCAAGGATGAGAAGGGTGAAAATTTTCGACTCTGGCAATGATTTCATGGATTTTATGGGCTGTTTTGGCCCGCGCTATCTGTTAATCGGACTGCTATGAGAAGTTCATGCTTGAAGAGTATCGTAAACCTAGATCACAGTTAGACACATATGCGTTCATTATTCAGTTTAAATGACTCTTCAGAGATCAGACATCCGTAGGATATGATGCATGATTTACTTAGCCGAGAACTTTAATAGCCATGTGTCACACTATTTCTCAAGTGCATCGATGTTTTCTCTTGAACCAGTAACATGGCGCTCTGGAGTCCGTCGCGTCGAAATCTGTAGACAATCCTAATGTGATCAACGAACGAAAATGGTCTACCATGTTTGGTGGATATCGTGATATTGTTAAAATACAGTAGGAAAGGGAAAGGACTAAGTACGCTTCCTTGGACGACACCCCTAGTGATTGGACGTAGGGAAGAGTTGCGGTCACTCAGAGTGGCTATGTGGGAAAGCTCATTCAGATAGGAGGTCAGCCGAAACATTAGTGACTCGGTTTTCTTTAGTAGCCGCTTTGACGCCCCCGGTCGAATGCCAGTGAGAACCCACACCTATTCCGTGCATCTTACTTCTAACCGACTCGTTACCAGGACAAATCAATCCCTTAGTCAATACCTAACGGGAGAGATACTCGTAAGAGTGCTCAGTCATATCATTCGTGGCGGCCAAATGATTCATTCTAAACTTGTTGTGGTTCTGAAGGTAAAAAAACACGAACACAGTACGGGAGTAGATAGAGAAGTGTGAGATATTCGTGAGACCGATGATCCTCTTTGGGAGCTGGCAGAAATTACGGCTCAGGCAAAGTAACGTCGGATCGAGTCATTTGTAGGGTAGTCCAAATACCGTACATATCCAGTAAAACAAAGCGAATCGTCGTGTAATACATAAACAACAACACAAAATAGTCTTCGATGGTGACGAAAATTGTGCATGTGGAAGAAGGCTAAAGCAAATAAAAATTGTTCGCAACCAATAGCGAGACATCAATCGGTTCTATTGGAAACACAAAGTCAAAAAATACATGCCATCAAAATTCATCTAGACGTACTTTCAGCTAAGGTTTCAATCAGTCTGGCTAGGCGAATTCCAAGGCCCGCTCCGAAATCACTTGTAGGAGCGCCGCTGGGAGCGAATTCTGCACACGGTGAACGTGATGCAAAATGGACGTGTTCGGCGACCACACGCAATACCTTAGAGAATAGCCGGATGAATGCGGTCCGGTTAGGTAGGCCGAACAATTCGTATGATTGATCACTCGGGTTTAGTGAACGGGAGTCTAGTGACCACAGGACGATGTCCCGAGTCAGTAGAGCAAGGAGGTCAAAGACAACAACATGAGCACAAAATCCCAAGAGATCCTGATCGCGTACATTGATCAGCCAGTCTTCGCCTTCCGACGCTTTTTGAGTAGTATCCGTTAGCTACATCGGAGCAAAAACAAAGGAGGACAAATGAAACAACATCGAGTGGAGTTCGAAAGCAGAAATGGAGGATGAGGAAAGGGAAGTGAATTTACCAATGAAGAAGGCTCATCCATGAGTTCATCTAACTGTGTGTTCAAGAACGTAAACACTTTCAACGACTCCACGGCAAGCTGACCATATTGCTCGGCGATCAAAAGGGCGGCCTCACTAAATTCTTCCGGTGACTCAGCGGCGTCATCAGCGACAGAGTCCTTAGTGTGCGACATAAGATCGCGGGTATCCGATCCAAATGATGTGGCACACACGGCTCCGAATAGCAACAGAGGCCCATGAATTGGCAATTCACCCAAATTGGACAAACTAACGAGGAAACGATTGAGCAAGCGGTGATTGGACATGAAATGGACTCGAGAGTCCGTTGACGTTGGTGGAGTGCCGGTCAGGCGATTAGTAGTTTGAGAACTACCAATCTGTCGACGAGTGTTTGGGTGACGGGAATCACGCGCTTGAACCTTGTGACTAAAAGGAAAAGTTTTGGAGAATAAAATAAAACACCGAATGATGAAAAAATAACGAATGACAAGCCAAACTTACGCATCAGGAAATAGCGATGGGGCATCCAAGCGGGCGGTACGAATCAGGATGAGAGTCTGAAGGAAGCTAAAGGTCGAAAATGCAAATATTATGTGATGGTAATTTATCATAAATAAGACTGATGAGAAGCTCAAAAAGGTAGAGGACCAAAACACAATTTAATGTGAGCGGGAGTACAGATTTTTCAAGTAAAAATACACCTAAGTGGAGGGTTTTGGTGCGGCTCTCTCCCATCCCTGCACTTCTGGAGTGAAGAGATGGGAGACAGCCACTTCAGCGACGGTCCCAGTGACCGTATTGGCAGAGGCTGACTTCAAAGTCAACCGAGGTCACGAGTGAGACTGCACGTCACAATCCAAGACAAACGGTTGGTGCTCCAAAATCCGAAAATCTACTTCCAACCGCGGTGTCAAACATTGCTCGCGGAGCGCAATGGCCTGGTGATCATGGCGATAGCCGCCGAGCACTATGCGCCAAGTTACACTCCCAGGTTGGCTATCTCTACCTGATGAGTCTAAACAAAGACGAAACCGTCGGTCGTGGAGTGCAGGGTTAGGAGAGAGCCACACCGAAACACTCCACTTCGGTGACGATCCCAGTGACCGTATTGGCAGAGGCTGACTTCAAAGTCACCGAAGCCACGATTGAGATTGCGTGTCGCAATCCAAGACTCGGCGGGTGCTCCAAAACCCGAGGATCTATAAGACACCTGTTCTCACCCGACTATCGCGGGAGCGCTATGGAATGAAGAAATCAGATAGATGATGTTGATTGACTTGGGAACCGAACTAAGGTCGTTATGGTGTTCGTGCAATAAGATAAGCAATTGTCCACTAAAAAACATGCTTGAAGGGGAAAGGAGGAAGACTGGTAACTTAAAGCAGCTGAAAAACGAAACATCGGATGATAAAAGGACAGTGAAGCCTATGAAAACACCGCCTGGCATGGGTGCGCAGCATAGTTATATAATGTCAGCGAGACATCAACCTTGAATACGTATTTACATCAACTCTAATGTATACGTCAAATCATTATGCAAAAGCTGTAATCTTCATTGGAGGGTAATGTTGAAGTACTCGTTGTGTGATTTGATTGCGACGCGTCGCAATCCGTTGTAACAAGCGTTGACGGTCGTGATCCGGAGTAGAGGTATCAACTAACATCCCAACAGTAAAGGATTCGGAGCCTGCTATCTCTACCTGATGTGATCAAACGAGGTCGGACGTATGGTGAAATGCAGTGTTTTCGAGCAGACAACATCCAATTTACATATGCTGTAGGCTTTACCTAATCGGATGAAGCGTCCGTGGAAGGAAAACAATTACGGGGTTATACTTATGGTAAATACAAAAGACAGTGATAGCTTACCATATCCTGTTCATGATTGTACGATGTTTCCCAAAAGAGTTAAGCATGCTAGAATGCAAACCGAATGATTTCGACTGAATGGAAACAAGTGAACGAATTACGAAAAGTTATAAGGTTACCCAGAATGTCTCCAGAAACCTTGTAAACTCTGACGACCCCGAATCCATCGACAGTGGCATGGCATGAACTCCCACGAATATGGCATGCAGTAGCTCTAGTTGCTCCCGCAATTGCAGCACAAGTAGCTCATTAAAATCTTCCTCGTGCTCTATATCAGGCACACCTAAGGTTGGTATAAAATACTAGACATCGGAAATATGTAAAAGCGGAAAACACACTGTGTTATCTACAAAATGGCTTCGACTCTTCAGTAATAGCTCTGTGTTTTGTGTTGCGCGTTGATAATCATCTAACAAAGCGTCTATCAGCTCTGCTCGTGATTTAAATGTTGTCATAGCGAACAGGACATCAGAGATGGGAGCCCAAGCGACATGCCAGTAGCAGAGTGCCAAGCGAAAAAGCCCACAAAGGGCTAGGCGCTCCTGCCAATAAAAGACGCGGACGCGATTCAACAGGCTGCGCATTCGTCCATTCATAAATAATCTCTGGAAAAGATTGGTGAGAAAAGCAGGTAGTACGTCCAACCTGAATAGAGGAGTCATCCAAGTTCTCGTGGGCAGCAAGAAATTGAACAAACACTTCATGGCAAAGGTTTGCTTGGAGGCCCTTCGAAACAAGTCAACTAGAAGTAGAGGTCATACCAAATAAGTAGATAATTTGACTATAAAACGCTCGACTGGTTCCTTTAAGTTGCCTATTTTCGTTTGACTCTCGGGACTATATGTGCAGGTAAACGAAGTATTTAGGGTACCTGGCTGCGTCGGTAAAGTATTTGAAACCCTTGGCCAATGGCATGCGCACTTTGGACAATTCACCAACCAAAAACGCCTAGAAAAGTGCAACAGATAACAATTTTCTCAGTAACTCACCTCATCACGGTTTTCACGGTGAGTGACACAGAATACCAAAGCGCTTGAGCAAGCCATATCTGTAACACAAAGAAGGAATTCAATCTATGGGAAGCAACGCTAGTTGTGTGAACTGTGAGTCCACGCAGACCAAGCAATACTTTAATAAGGGAAATGAAGCAAATACATGAAATTCATTTTAAATGGAACAGCAGTCACTATCCGCTCTGCGTTAAAATTATGGGGTTACAATGAGAAAATAAAGTGAAATAAATGAAAAATGAGAAAAGACAGATTGGTCAAGGGATATACATTGAAAGGCAGAGGAAACAGTATCAATGACTTTACAGCCAAGAAACGGAATGATATTCCGATGAAGAATATGACCGATCGTGAGAACTGAAACTTGGAGAGACGGCAAATTGAACTGAGGGAGCTACTTACTCCGTCCGGACACGTTTGATAGTTGTGGTGAGCTGCTCCAGACCTATAACCAGCAGTCAGTCTGAAAAGTGATTGTGTTGGCCAAAAGTGGTCTAAAACGATTATTTGCACTACAGAGCAAAATTTTATTTTCGATGCTCACAAGTGTGCAATACGGTTCAGAAGCAAAAGCAGTCAAAGTGATACCGTAAAACGCAGTGATACTTATGGAAAGAAGTATATAAGGCAACTAAAGAGCACGTTAAGACCTGTGCGTGGACCAGAACCTGTTCCTCCGCAGTTGAATGTCTGATGCTAGGGCTTTATACTGGAGCACCCGAAGTGCAGTCCGGTTAAATGATTATGATACGGGCACCGAAATGCATTGAATCCAGTCATCACGACTAAATTCATCAGGATAATAATAACTAACAATGGTGAAGAAATGAGGCATCAGGCAAACAAGACGAGACGAGTAGAACTATTCGGGATCGAATAATTACAGCGAATACAGGAGCGCCAGACTGCGTGACTGCGTTACATCTGATAGACTCCAACCAGTTACGTGGACCATAACGAGATCCCCATCCACGAAGACGGCACACATCAGGCGGACCAAGTCCATCAGTCCATTTCCTCCTGCTTTTATGCCACCACCGACTGGTCTTTTGGTGGCTAAACCCAACTACGCCCAGCAACAGCATATAATGCACACTGAGGAAGCCGATCAACGGTGATATGGAGGACATGACCTAGCCAAGCTATGAGCAAAAGTTGGAGTGAAATTCCAGTAGATCACCAGAGAGTTTCTTTTCAAACACCAAATGGCAGACTCCAGTACTGCTGATCGGGTGGTAACACCAAACTTCTGTAGTATTCCTAATACACTAGTGAGCAACGGAAGTCAATCTCTTAGTGCATTCAGTTTGAATTGGGCATGTTTCCGATTCGTACAGCAAAGCTGGTCATGTCGCAGCGTTATAGACCTTACAAATAACCGATAAACGGAAGTTGCACACAAAGTGCAGACAACTCAGAGTATACAAACCCATGAGCGCGTGAATTGTGAAGCGTCTGGTGGTACTACCTTGATAACCTCATCTATTCAATGCCTACGTGAGCCAGTGCATTCGGAGCAATTTCATCTATCACGTTGATTGGAATCTTGTCGTTCGCTCAATAGTCCACTAGGTTCCGTTCATATATAGCGTGTCACTGCGGCCTTCACGGGGACAGTTACAAGACACCAGCGTTTACAGAGGGACCATAGCTGAGGTCGTTAACGTCTCTAGCTAACGTATATAATGATGAGGACGATGGTTTGCTAAGCTCTTCAGGAAACGTGTTTTAAAAAGTGGTGATAAAGTTGACGCAAGCAGCAGCAGATTTGCGCGGTCATTCAAAGGAGCGTCAGAGTAGTAAGGCAAGAGGACTGCAGAAATTGTGCTTTCATGGTAATGATGAAGTTGACAAGGGCGACAGTGAAACAGCCCTTTACCCAAAGATCGTCTTTAAATTCGTTAATTTCTTCCTTTCCAACAAGGTGCTGTTCTGCTTAGGAAATTAAGCGCCCCGTTTGATTTGAATAACATCCACTTTGGCTTGAAAAACGACTGGTTTAAAGTGAAAATGGCACAAATGACTCACCTTAGAATAAATAATAAAAATACAATGTATCAGTTGTACGCCGTAACGGCCGTTCGCTGCCCCGCCACCACCACGAGTCGTGCGTGGGCTGAGTATACCGCGAGGACGCCCACCCTACGCGGATTCGAAACGGCGACCTAAGGACTGCAAGCCAGGCGTGCAGAGCAGTCGGCCACGGGCCGACATCTGAGAAGCTGGAAAGAAACCGTCCTTCATGTTTGCATGCTGAGGTACGGTCAGTGACGCGGATGGCTTAAAGGTTTTAAAGTGCGCATCTGATGGTTTCTGGGAATGGTCCGCTTCGAGGTGACTACAAATAAATCTCTCCAGGTGCTCGATTTTGTGCAATGGAACGGGTTATCAATCTACTAGTTACGTTTGGGCGGAAGTGAAATGCTGCATTTGTACGAGCACTTTTAGTAGAAGTGGAAGGTTCATCAGAACACGATTATCTCGTATGCGTGTTACGAAGACAAAATACATATCAAGTCCAACGGAATAAGGAGTGAGAGTTAGTGCTGCCTTTTGGTCGATCTGACCCAGAGCGCGGACGCTGGACGACTCAAGGTGAAACGAGACGCCTGGTTTGAGGGACGAGTCACATGTGATGATTGTAGCAACTGCGAGGTCAGCAGCAGTATCTTGCATAATAGACGTGGAAGGAAAGAGTTGAAAGAGAAAAGAAGAGGGAGTATCCTCGCCATGGCAACTAGTATATCCAACCAAACGTCGTCCTTCGGACCCCAGCCCGATAACCGGGAGACAATAGAGGATGCCAAGTTCGAAATGAGGATGTTCATGCTTCGTGATCAAGTCATCGCTTGGCCTCCTCTCTTTTCTTCCATCCGCATCCCTGGTCGCTCAAACAACGCACGTCGCAGGAGTCGGTGTGCTGGCAAGTCCAACACGTAGCTCAGCCATCGGAGCCTGGGGCGTGAAACAGCGGTACTGAGCGGTTCAATCGCTCTTCGCGCACCAAATAGATGACGCCGGACACGCTCACTGCTCACGTGGTGTTCCCATCACACATGAGCTAACCTGCGAAGGCAACGATGGTCGAATGTAACTAGCCTCTTTATGCATGTCGATTTGAGGGGTCAGGTTTCGTAACCGCACATAAGGGTCGAACGTCCGCTGCATTGTACATTCTACACTTCAGGGCGACAGTAATGTCGCGCCGGCACCACAGTTGGCGAAGGTTAGCAAAAGCGGCTCGAGCTTTTGCTATGCGGTTCGTGATCTCACCTGCTATCACTGGCATATTTTACTACACTTGAATTTCTTGATAACTAGCTGACCACTACCAAGGGTCAACGCAGGGGTGAATCCCTGCCAATCTTTTGGGGTGGACTATGCATTTCGAGGGTGCGAAGCATAGCCCGGAACGACTGACAGCCAAGACAGCTTGGCAGGTTCTGGAGCTATCGCAAATAAGGGCAATGTCGTGGGCGTACTCCAAGTCAAGAAATCGATCACCTGGGAGCGGTTCCACACCATGTAGGTCGTGTACAGTGAGCGCAGTCTCGATAGCTTCCTCGATGGATAAATCGAAGAGGAAAGGTGACAGCGGGCAAACTTGTCACAACCCACTGGAAATATTGAACGGTGGAGACAACTTGCCGTGAGCACTCACTGCGCGAGCTAAGCGCGTAAGGCGCTCTGGTAATGTGTACGTATTTTTGGGGCACATCTCTCCTGAGTAAACAATCCCAAAGGGCACATCGATCAACCGAATCGAAGGCACCTTTGATGTCGAGGAAAAGGACTACGGTGACTCGCCGATAAATATTACTACGGTCCATAAATCGACGTAACGTGAAGATGAGAAGGATGCAGCCGCGATTACGACGAAACCGGGTTTGCTCCTCCCGGATGTGGGGCCCACCTATAGCTTGTAACTAAATAGTTTGACCAATAAGGCAATGGGGTGTATGGAGGTTCGATTGAGGGACTCCACTAGGAGCATTTGGTTCAATGGCCTGACCATCACCATCATCATCACCATAATAATAATAATAATAATAATCATAATAATAATCACCATCATCATCATCATACATGTCAGCTAGAGGTGGAAACAGCCTCGGCTACTGTGCCGCAACGAGACTGGACCTTAATGTGGTGCGACGGTTTGCGTACCTCATTGACCCATTGATCTATACTGGATGATGCCTCCGGGCACCTTGAGAGCTAGTCCTACTAGGTTGGTCTCCTGGTAATCCAAGTTGGGGTTTGAAATGGGATGGCGTCCATTTCTGTAAAACTAAATCATTGCCACCTCTCCGCTGTCTTGCGGACAGGCTTTTGAGCCAAAGGGTTTGGATGAGGACCCTAATCGTCCTCCTGTCTAGGTCTGGGCGCCCTGGCAGTATCTCAGCCCACATACAACCATGACATTTTCTTCCATCATAAACTTCATCCTGCACCGGCCGTCGCGCAGATTATCAAGGGTTGACTTATCTGCTGCATACAGCAGGGCGGATAAGAAAAATATGCCATTGCTGACGCCACCCTTCTTTCTTTTAAACCTGTTTTTCTTACTCCCATCCCGACCCCCATTACTAACCTTCCTTCTATAATTCCCAGCTTAAGTGACAGCAACCGAAGTGCCACTGGGGTGGAAGCATCTGAAGCCATCATCCCACCGCACCTATCGGACGCCTATCGGCAAAAGTCCACTATAAGTCCACCGTATCCCGTTTCCATGGCGACATTCAACGTTCGTACTCTAAGACAAACAGGTCAACAGGCTGTACTCGCACGCACCTTGGACACACTGGATATTGATGTGTGTTGCGTGTCCGAAACTAGGATCAATGACCCTAACGGGGTTACTGAATTAACTGCACACAGATTATTCTCTCGTTAGTGGTTGTACAAGTTCAAGTTCAAGCGGGACTGGAACGATAGGATTATCCCGTGAGTGTTCCTTCTTCGGCGGGTCGTTGAACCAGGAGTTGGCGAACTTTGAAATACTGATGGACCTAAAACAAAGACCGCATCACACC